TGGAATGAAGATTTTTCTTTGTATTTTTTTTAATGTTAGGTCTCAATGTTATATTAGTTATTTATTGTTTTTTATTTTGTTTTTTGTTAATGGGGGTTGTAAAAGTTGTTAATTTTCATGTTTTATTTGTTATTTGTTACATTATGTTCTTAATGTTTTTGGTTATTGTTACTGTTAAGTTTTAGCTTTTGTTAGTGTTGTTAAATTTGTTATTTTAATGAGTCATAATGTTATTGTTATGATTGATAGATATTTGTTATCTATCAGTATATAAGTTATTGGCTATTGTTTTGAATATGCTAGTTCTTTGTTATTGGTATGGGGATCAGTCATTTGTTATATATACATGTATAGGGGGATATTAGTTATTTATGATGTTATGAGTTTTAGTTATTTGTTATTTGTATGAGTTTTTATGAGTTTAAATTGTTATGTCGCGTCAGTTATTTGTTATTTGTGACAGTTATGAGCATTTGTTGTTATTTGTTTTAGTTAGTTGTTATTGTGACACTTGTTATGAGTTTTAGTTGTTCTGAGTTTTAGTTATTTGCTTTTGTTGTGATTTTGAATCATTTGTTATTGTTATGAGTGTTATCTAGTTGTTATTGTTATGATTTTTACATATTTGTTATTGTGACAGTTGTTATGAGTTTTAGTTATTTGTTATTGATATGAATTTTTGTTATTTGATTTGGTAGAGATTTTTGTTATTTGTTATTGTTATGAATTTTTGTTAATTGTTATTGTTATGAGGTTCCTTTGTTATTCACCCCCATTATCTGTTTTGCTTTTGTTTATTGATTTTATGTTTTAAGTGCATTCCTTTCCCCATCCCTGATCCTGGTAAGTTTGTATTTAAGCCCTTATCTGTTTAATTTGTTTGTTGATTTCATATTTTAAGTACATCCCCCCCTTCCCTGATCCTGTTAAGTTTGTATTTAAGCCTTTATCTGTTTATTTTGTTTATTGATGTACATCATGTTTTAAGTACATTCCTTTCCCCTTCCCTGACCCTGTTAAGTTTGTATTTAAGCCTTTATCTGTTTATTTTGTTTATTGATGTACATCATGTTTAAGTACATCCCCCCTTCCCTGATCCTGTTAAGTTTGTATTTAAGCCTTTATCTGTTTATTTTGTTTATTGATGTACATCATGTTTAAGTACATCCCCCCCTTCCCTGACCCTGTTAAGTTTGTATTTAAGCCTTTATCTGTTTATTTTGTTTATTGATGTACATCATGTTTAAGTACATCCCCCCCTTCCCTGATCCTGTTTTTGTATTTAAGCCCTTATCTGTTTATTTTGTTTATTGATGTACATCATGTTTAAGTACATCCCCTCCTTCCCTGATCCTGTTAAGTTTGTATTTAAGCCTTTATCTGTTTATTTTGTTTATTGATGTACATCATGTTTTAAGTACATTCCTTTCCCCTTTGATCCTGTTAAGTTTGTATTTAAGCCTTTATCTGTTTATTTTGTTTATTGATGTACATCATGTTTTAAGTACATGATCCTGTTAAGTTTGTATTTAAGCCTTTATCTGTTTATTTTGTTTATTGATGTACATCATGTTTAAGTACATCCCCCCTTCCCTGATCCTGTTAAGTTTGTATTTAAGCCTTTATCTGTTTATTTTGTTTATTGATGTACATCATGTTTAAGTACATCCCCCCTTCCCTGATCCTGTTAAGTTTGTATTTAAGCCTTTATCTGTTTATTTTGTTTATTGATGTACATCATGTTTAAGTACATCCCCCCCTTCCCTGATCCTGTTAAGTTTGTATTTAAGCCCTTATCTGTTTATTTTGTTTATTGATGTACATCATGTTTAAGTACATCCCCTCCTTCCCTGATCCTGTTAAGTTTGTATTTAAGCCTTTATCTGTTTATTTTGTTTATTGATGTACATCATGTTTTAAGTACATTCCTTTCCCCTTCCCTGATCCTGTTAAGTTTGTATTTAAGCCTTTATCTGTTTATTTTGTTTATTGATGTACATCATGTTTTAAGTACATTCCTTTCCCCTTCCCTGATCCTGTTAAGTTTGTATTTAAGCCTTTATCTGTTTATTTTGTTTATTGATGTACATCATGTTTTAAGTACATTCCTTTCCCCTTCCCTGATCCTGTTAAGTTTGTATTTAAGCCTTTATCTGTTTATTTTGTTTATTGATGTACATCATGTTTTAAGTACATTCCTTTCCCCTTCCCTGATCCTGTTAAGTTTGTATTTAAGCCTTTATCTGTTTATTTTGTTTATTGATGTACATCATGTTTTAAGTACATTCCTTTCCCCTTCCCTGATCCTGTTAAGTTTGTATTTAAGCCTTTATCTGTTTATTTTGTTTATTGATGTACATCATGTTTTAAGTACATTCCTTTCCCCTTCCCTGATCCTGTTAAGTTTGTATTTAAGCCCTTATCTGTTTATTTTGTTTATTGATATCATGTTTTAAGTACACACCCCCCCCCCCCTCCCTGAACCTGCTTAGTTTGTAATTCACCCAATCATCTGTTCATTTTGTTTAGGTGCAATCACAAGAATTCTGTGTCTAAATACATCAATCAAGCATTATTGATTTCATATTTTAAATATACACCTTTTCCCTTCCCTGATCTTGTTTAGGTTTTATTTCAGCCCTAACTGTGTTTTGTGTTTACTGCTTTCATGTTTTTTAAATACATTACTTTAAATTTCCTTTCCCTGATCCTGTTTAGTTTGTATTTATCCCATTATCTGATCATTTTGTTTTGGTGCAATCACATGAATGCAATGTCTAAATACATCAATGAAGCACACACCGCCATTGTAGGCATTGCAATCATCGAAATTCCCTTCCACTCCTCTGATCCTGATAAGTTTGTTTGAAAGTCCTTATCTGTTTATTTTGTTTATTGATATCATGTTTTAAGTACATTTCCCCCCCTTCCCTGAACCTGTTTAGTTTTTAATTCACCCCATCATTTGTTCATTTTGGTTAGGTGCAATCACAAGAATGCAACGTCTAAATACATCAATCAAGCACACACCACCATTGTAGGTATTGCAATCATGGGATTCCTTTCCCCTCCTCTGATCCTGTTTAGTTTGTATTTCAGCCTTTATATGTTTTTCGTTTTTCTGCTTTTATGTTTTAAGTACATTCCTTTCCCCTTCCCCGATCCTGTTTAGGTTGTATTTCAGAATGTAGAGTGGGGCCAAAATTGGGTATCAGAGTTTTACATAGGAATACATGGAAAAAATCATTACAATTCTTCACAAAGCCGTGATTGTTTATTAATTTAAAAGCATAATTAAAGTGAATCATAACAATAAACAAAAAAAATAAGTCTTTATGTGTCATATTAATTCAAAATCATTCTGAGGAAGTGTATTTTGTTCAAATCCCCCCTTCCTCCTCCTTCGAACCCACGGCATGCCAACAACGCTAGATTGGAGGTATTTCTTAGCCATTAAAGAAGAGGTAAGATTGTTTCATAATTAGTTTGCCACTCCTACTTAGTACTAACATTTCCGAGATCTGCCTTTGGGGATCTACGTGATTCATGTTTCCGGGTCCGTCAGTTGTTTGCAGTGGCTATCTATGTGATTCTTGTTTCCGGGTCCCATTGATTGTTTGTGGTGGCTATCTACGTAGTTCGTGTTTCCGAGTCCCGGCGTTTGTTTGCGATGGCTATCTACGTGATTCGTGTGTCTGAGTTCCGGCGGTTCATTGTAATGTCTATCTACGTGATTCGTGTTTCCAGGTCCCATTGGTTGTTTGCGGTGGCCATTTTAGACGGTTATTTTGGGAGTTTTTCCTGCTTCAGTCGAAAGGTAAGAGGATTATTGTAGTTGTAAGTAGCCTTACTAAAGGTAAGAGGATTATTGTAGTTGTAAGTAGCCTTACTAAGGTGTTTCTTAGTGTTAGGTTTAGTTTGTGTAGTGTTTCCAGTAGGCCCAGTTTTGTTGTAGGTTAAGTTAGTAAGCTTTAGTTTCTAGTTTTACAAATTAGAGTTCTTTAAGAGTTTAGGGCCATTATTGTAATTAAGGTATTTGTTAGTTAGTGCTTGTAGTGGATAGGTTTGCATGATTAACACCCTAACAAGCACGAGGGGCGATCAGAAAATAAATCAAGTAATATTATTCCATAGAAATTCTTCTTAACTATATTGATAGTGTTGTTGGTATCTCATCAACAAAGGTACATGAAATTTTACCAAGCACCTCAACCTACGAAAAGTATGGATACTGCATCTCTTGACACCAGAACAAAAGACAACGTGTTTGAAATTTGCTAGAAAACTTAAAAATCTATAAAAACTGTGACAGGATAAAAAATTGTTGACTTTCTAACAGGTGATGAAACTTGAATGTACTTTTTTGAGCAAAGAAAAATTAACAATATGACAAGGGTAAGAAAAAATAGCGAACGTCCTGTCATTGCAAAAAGGTGTCAGAGTGCCAAGAAAATTTTCTTTAATTCTAGTGGCCCTGTTGTGCAAATTCCAACTCTGAAAGGTAGTTGTATCTCGGGACGATTTTACTAAAAACAATTAAAGTATTTGAAAAGAAAAGGCTAAAGACAGGCTTGAAGAACATAAAGCTCGTTCATGACAATGCTCTAGCTCATAAGAGTAAAACAGTTCAAAGTATTTGAATTATGTAAATGTTGTTCAGCTCCCACATCCACCGTGTTCTCCCGACCTAAGTCCTTGTGACTTTTTCTTATTTCTTAGACTGAAACAAATGTTATCTGGACATTGCTATACTTCGCGCAGTGCAGTTGGTAGTGCTGTTTATCAGTACTTAGACAGTATTACAAGGAAAGACTACCTCGGGGCTTTAAATCATGGATATGCAAAAGTGTGTGAATGTAAAAGGGGGTTATTTTGAAGGATTTAACTAGTTTACATGTGGATACATATTGTTGTCATTATTTTATGATATACTTGCAGAATTTTCTGATCGTCCCTCGTAACAAGCTACTAAAACTACTAACGTCTGCTAAATGTTGTGTGACGCGTCTAGTGTGTTGGTGTTAGTGTTTGTGTGCTTGTCACCTCTCGCTTTCAGCCATCACCACTGGCTAGCAGCAATGTGAAAAGGGAAGGAATTTTTATGTCTTCCCCTGCCAGTACATAGCCTCTCCACAACAAGTCCTATGCGATGCCTCCACGTGGAAGCAGACGGATACTGGGTAGCTATTGGTCCCAGGCTAAGTTCGCAAGGGCGCACGGGAAGATTAGTCTCCGAAGTTTTTGCAAGCACCTTATCTAGGAGAGAAAAATGATCACAATCCCGATTTAATATAAGACTTGATTGATTTCAGTGGTAACTGGTAATAGGAATGAACCTTTGTCCATTGTCTGTCTTTGTCATTTTTGTGAAAACTCACACTTTCATCTTCATTGGGCCAAAATCAACCAAAGTTGGCAGAGTATCCTTGGGTAAATGAGATTTCAGTTCATTCAAATGAAGCCCCATGTCCTCTTCTAAAGAGAGATTATTACAAATAAGTGAAAATTAATATGACATCTTTTAAAAATCTTCTTTTAAAGATCAACTGGAGCAGGAAAGGTGACCCTTGTGTGGAATTATCCTCAGGTAGTGTACATTCAAATTTATTCAAATCTAGACCCCCCTATTAGGGTGGTGCTAGAATGAGGGATCAAAAATATACATTGGAAATTTTTTTAAAGAGACATTGTGACACACAAAGGGGAAATTTGACAAAGGTAGAATTTTTGCATGACCCTTGTCAATTTTTTTCAATTCCTGAAAGAATTTGGTTTCAGGAAATTACAGATTTCAGACACTAAAAACTCAATTTTTATGGAGAAAAATATAAATAAATTAATTTCAGTATGCCCCAATACATTGCACTAAAAGATTGTTTTACTTCTTTCCTCATATTGTATGTGCTCAGAAAAGTTGAATAAGTTACCATGACTTTAAGTACCTAAGAATAAATGTAGGTACACCAAGAATTTTGATACAGTATTTTTAAAAAGCTATATGCAGCAGCCAACATGGCCCAAAGTGGTAAACAATAAGTTCTCTGTTAAATGAAGTTTTTCAATTGATAGGAAAAGAGAGTGTTTCCCCTTTGATATCTCTTTTGTCTTTTTAAGCGGAAGAAAGTTGAGGCTGACCAGGATCCTGAAGTGAGGAGGAGTCCCTCTCCCATTAAACTGCATTCATGAGCAGAAAGTATGGTAAGATTCAGACTTTACTTCTTGTATAATTTCCTGACTTAATTTTTTTTGCTTGCCAATTGAGATTAGCTGTACCAAGCTTTAACCTCTGGACTTTTAATTGATAGAATTACAATGGGGGACCAGGGTCAATCAATATAAGAAGAGTCCATGTCCTGGCTGTGTTTTTAGGCAACATTTTCAAAAGTGGTAACTAACAAGCTTGTTTTAAGCTTCTCACTTGATATGAAGTGCAGGTATCCCCCATTTGATGTTTCTGTTTGATCTATTATAGCAGAGGAAGGTTAAGACTGACAAGGAATTCTAAGGATGGAGTCCCTCTCTCATTCCACTGCGGTAATGAGGAGAAAGCACGGTAAGATTTGGGCTTTACTTCTTAATTTTTTAAAGTACTGAACATCACCAGGGCCCACTTAAACAGCCAGGAGTCTTACATGAAGTATTATTCATTTAATACTTTCTGACCAATCCTCGTAACTCTTCTCAACTCTAAAGTAACTATACATCCCTTCCCCACCCTTATTTTCCCTGTAATTCTTATTCCAACTTTATTGTCTTATTTGATAACTGATTTTCCAGCTAATAATGTTGTAATGATAATGTTTACTTGAAATCTTTTGATTATTATATTGCATTGAATTATCAAGAACTAAAATTCTCATATTTTCAAGGACTTTGACAAGGGAAGAATGGGGGGGGGGGGGGGACCAGGGCTGACCAAGAGAAGAAGTGTCCATTGCCAAGCTTTGTCCAGCAGCCAATATCTGATTAAGAAGTGAGTAAAAAGCTTTTTTGGCAATTTTCAAATTTTCCATGTACTTGTAATTCAAGTTTGTTCAAATCATGGGTTCAGGAGGATTTACTTCTGTTGCAGAACAGCAAGACCATGTTAGCTGCAATAACACTGAAGCATTCCAAGGTTGTATGCTGGTATTGGCCCCATTTCCAAGAATGAGCAGGTTATCATGATTCAGCAAGAGTCCAAAGAGATCAACTGGGGCTGACCTGAAAATAAAGGTAAGACACAGGTTCTACTAACTCCTTCTACTGTGTGAAAATTAACTTTGCTCTCTCATTTATTAAAATTTAATTAATATTTTTAGCTCACCTGAGCTGAAAGCACAAGTGAGCTATTCTGATCAAAATTTGTCTGTAGTCAGTCCGTCTGTCTAGCTATCTGTCTGTTCATCTGTCTGTCCATCTGTAAACTTTTCACTTTTTCGACTTCTTGTCAAGAACCACTGCATTAATTTCAACCAAACTTGCCACAAAGTATCCTTGGATAAAGGGGATTCAAGTTGTTCAAATGAAGGGCCATGCCTCATTACAAGGGGAGATAAATATTAATGAAAAATTAATGGCAATTTAAAAAATTCTTCTTCTTAAGAACTACTGGGCAAGGAAAGATTTAACTTATGTGGAAACATCCTCAGCTAGTGAAGATTCAAGTTTGTACAAATAATGACCTCTGGGGGAAGGGCGGGGCCACAATGGATGATTAAAGTTTACATAGGAATATATAGGAAAAAATCTTAAAAATCTTCTTCTTGAGAACAGCAAAGCCTTGATTGGTCATATTTATATGGAAGCATCCTCGGGTAGTGTAGATTCAAGCTTGTTCAAATCATGACCCTCTGGGGTAGGGTGGTGCCACAACGGATGTTCAAAGTTTTGCATAGGAGTATATAGCAATGTCATAATTGGTCTTGTTGGTATTGAAGCATCCTCAGGTAGTATTAGGTACAGATTTGTTAAAATTACTACCCCCCAGGGTTGGGTGGGACCACAATAAATTCAGACTTAGGGAAAAAGCCACAGTTAGTCAGAAAAAAATTTAAGCATCCTTAGTTATTGAAGATTCAAGTTCGCATAAATAGAAGTTTGTTCAAATCATAACCCCCCCCCCCCTCCCTTAAGGATAGGGACCACTTAGGTATTTACTGAATTGATGTTTTCTTAGCCACAGTGTGCTCAGGTGAGCAATGTGGCCCATGGGCCTTTTGTTTGTTGATCCCCTCATGATTTGTTTCTTTACAGGTAGACTGGCATCCATAGATTGTTTCTTTAACAGCAGGCAAATAAATGAAATAAGCTTCAACAATAGTGCAACAATAGTGTGGAGAGTAAGGTTTGAACTGAAGCCTGATGTAGTCTGAATGAAGAAACAAAAATGTCAGAACTCAGAGGAACTTTTTATATTCTTTTCTTCAAACTGGACACAATAGATAGCTAAACTGTCAGAGTTCAATAGACTGTGCAGATGAATTCATTGTTATCATAGAGTGATGGACACATTACATAGCTAAATACGAAGAATCAAATGGACAATGCTGATGAGTTCATTGTTATTAACAAAGTGAGTCAATGCATTAGATAGTTGGAGAATGAAATGGACAGTGCTCAGTGTACATTATTGTTAACAAAGTGATGGACACATTAAATAGATAAACTCACAAAAGTCATTGTTCAATGACAATGTTTAATTCATTGTTATTAACAAAGTCATGGACACACTAAGCAGCTCAATGCAAGGAATCTAATGGACCGTGCTGAGTACCGTATAAGTAGAAATTTTAGCGAGGCGCAAATTTAGAGATTTCTACCTAATGTTTTATTTTTAGCAAGAAGTAATTTTAGGGATTTTTAAAATGCTAACTTAAGAAGCTATTACATGTACAAATAATACGCAATTACTGTAAATCACTTTTTATTCGAGAGAACTTTATTTTCGCGTAATTACGCGAGACAGTGTGCTCGCAAAAATTAAATTCTCATGTATAATAGTATTCCTTAACATTATATAGACCAATAACCACAATTTGTGAAAATTTTGTCTCGGTAATCAAAAGTCAACGACTACCTCGCGAAAAGGTGTCGCGAAAATTTAGTGATCTACAGTAATTTTTAGCGATATTCAATTTTAGCAATGTCAGCACCCTTGCTAGTAATGCCAAAATTAAATCCTTGCTAAA